TAGGTTTGCATAGGGACCATAGGGACATGTCCCTATGGTCCCTATGCAAACCTACGCCCATGACTTGACTGTAGAGATCTTTGAGATTATGTGTCGTTAATTGGCATTATTTAAGTAAATTAAACTGGGTTTAAATTTAATTGAATTGAACCACATTCTCTGTATTTCTTTAAATTGTTATGTATAGATAAAATCAGAAATACATCTTAAACTTTCACTTTCAGTATTTTTTATTGGGCTATTATATTACAAAGTTGGGGCTAATGATTAACTTCTGTATATTAAGTATATTTGTTATGCATCAGAACGATTTGTTTCAGTGGCTAATTTCCTCTGTAATCTTATTTTTTCTTTTTTTTATAATACAGGAAACAATCAAACAGCTCCAGGAGGAGATGACTTCAATCGAAGAATCACAGTGTGTCTTCACCACCTTCTCAGAGTGGCTCAGCACAGCTCAGAATAACTTCAGCACGGTGGCCATTAGCGTTGACGTAGTAGATCGCTTTGCTTTAGAGAGAAAAATAAAGAAACTTGAGGTGAAGTTTTTAATAATTTCAGTGTCATTTTGTTTTTTGTCTAAACTAACAAACTTTATAGTATTAAACCATAAGAGGAACTAGATAAAGGCTTCCACATACAGGCTGTGTGCAGACTGTGAGCTTTTTAGAAGTCTGCACAGGTATGGGGGCCTTTGAAAGTTTAACATTAATTGACATTTTGTGTGATTTTAGACTCTGCAGGGTGACATGGAGCAGGGTCACACCTACCTAAAGGCAATGAGGGAAAAGGCAGAAAAGGCGATGACTTTCCTTGAAGAGCCTGAGGCAGACCAGCTCAGGGAGGAGGTGGACATTCAACTTTTTCAGCTTGAGGAATTAACCACTTCTCTACGCACAGAACACAGCTCCCTGGAGAAATACATCTCACTCTCCAAAGACTTTATGGATAAATATAAAACACAAGCCCAGTGGGTGAAGGAGACAAAGAACTTTTTAGCAGCAAGTTTAGAACCAAAAACTGAACTCTACCAGAAAAAGGCTCAGTTGGCAAAATATAAGGTGAGTAATAATATTGTAACATTGATAGAAATCATATTGAAAGAACTGACCCGGTATTTAACTTTCCTTTCTTTTACACAGACTATTCAGCAGACTGTTGAATCCCACGAACCAGCTGTGAAATGTGTCATTGAGAAAGGAGAGGCTTTACTCAATTCCTTTAACGACCCCACGATCGGTGAAAACATGAAAAAGTTACAGACCGACTATCAAGACCTTTGTTTGGCAGCTAAGGTATGCAAGTTCTGTCTGTAATAGTCCTCATTTTAAAGTAAGGGCCTGAAAGTAAAACTGTTTACATTTTGCTGTTGATTAATTTAATTTTGGAAGCCTTAGAACCCTAAACACTATTACATATATACTAACAAAATGTAATGATTAATACATTGTTTTTCTAGTTTTACAAGTTGAATTTATTAACAAGAATTGTATGCACCAGCATAAATTAATGGTGGAGTTCTTTATATTTTTTATGCTTAAGTCTGCAGAAAGTTTCCCTTCTATTTGGTTTAATGTTCCTTAGTGCTTTTTCTCAGTATCAACAAGATGTCTGGCAGAAATATTGTGGACTCTAGAGCTCATTTCAGTTGTTGCGTTTACTGTTTATACTCCAGGTTTAAAGCAGACAGATTTAAATTATCTAAATATTAGGGATGCTTGATATAATCAGCCCCCTATCGGTATCGGCCTTAAAACTGAATATCGGACATCGGCC